CTGTGGTCTGGTTCTGGTTCTGGTTCATGTTCATGCAGAAAAGAAGAAAAATGCAAACATGACATCGAAATTAAAATGCAAAGATAATGCAGAAGAAAGAAAAAGAAAAGAAAAAGAAAAGAACATCAGAAGATGAGAGATCATAAACGAAAGTCGGGTACTAAAACACATTCTCAATGCACTGGGTCACTTACAAGAATGTATCACCCTTCGTGCTCTTGAGGTCAGTAGCTTCTCCAAGGCTGTGAAGAGTCTTTCTCAACCTGTCGCAATCTTTGTCCAAATTATCAATGGTGAGGCGCATTCCATCCACCGCATGCTGAACCTGTTTCTCCTTGACAAGATTATCCTCCTCCAATTTCTTGTTCTCCCGCTCGCAGAATTCCAAGGCCTGGATCTTGTCCGAGAGCCGTCCCTCCAAGTCGGTCTTCTCATCAGCCCACTTCTGCTGCTGGTCGCTGTGCTCCTTCTCCATCTCTGCCACCTTCTCTGCGTGGCTGTTGTTGAGGGACTCGACTTCGCTAGCGTGGGTCTGACGAAGGTCCTCCATCTCCTTGGCGTTGGTCTCAATGGTAACCTCCAGTTCCTTCTGCTTGTCTGCGAGTTCGGTAGTTCTGGTTTCAAGTTCTTCCTTTGTCGAGCCCAGCTCGGCAACCTTGGAGTCAAAATCGGCTTGCAGTGTGTCGTGCGCTTCCTGCATCTGTTGCTTCTGGTTCTCGTAATCGTTCTTCATCGCGTCCTGCTGGTCGAGCAACTCGCGCTCGCGTGCCGCGAGAGCCTCAGCTGCTGCCTTCTCATCTTCTGCCTTGATCTCCTCGAACATCTCCGTCAGCTCCTTCTTCTGAGTGGCAAGAGATGACTCCTTGTCTTGTCTGGCAGCCTCCATATCCCTCTCGTAGGTCTCATGTGCCTCTTGAAGGTTGGTGTTGAGGGTCTTGACCTCCTCCTCCAGCTCGGCCTTTGTCTGCGTTAGCTCCTCATTGGCCTTCTCCGAATCATGTAGCCTCTCCTGAAGGTCCTTCTTCTTCTCATTCTCGTTGCCCAGCTCCATGCGAAGTTCATTGATGGTATTCTTCAGTCGCGTTGATTCCTCCGCACTTTCACTGGCCGCCTTCCGCATCTGATTCTGCAGGGCATCGATGTAGAAGTCTTTGTGCATCAATTCCTGCTCATGTTGGTTCTTCATCTGCTTGAACTCGGACTCCCGCGCCTGCAACTTGCCCTTGGTGGTCTTGTAGCTATTGAGCAGCCGGCCGATGTCGGGAATGGCATCCTGGATCCTCTGGAGAAGCTCAATAGGCTCTTCATGTTCGTGCGGAGGCGATATGGTACCTCCTTTGCCATTGAGAGGATGGCCATTGCCGAATCCCAGGTTCTGCAAAGCCTGGAAGGAAGCAGCCGACCCGGGGTCTATTGAGCCTCGAGGGGTCGGGTGCATGTTGGGGGAAGGTTGGTAATAGGCATACTGGGGGAGGAAGCCATTGGCGCTCATGATAGGCGAGTGATAGGAGGGGGGGTAGGGCGGTATGGCGGTTGGCTGTTGATGCATCCTCGCCGTCATTGGCGGAGGAGCCATCTGTGGAGACATCATGGGAGACATGTGCCCACGTGCCAGAGGACTGCTGACTTTCGGAACAGGTGAAGCGGGTTTCGCGACAGGCGAGACGTGTTTCTGTACAGGTGACACGGTCTTTTGCACAGGTGATGCAACCTTCTGCACTGGAGAATATTGTTGCACGGCGGGTGAAGCTGATTGAAATACGGGAGAAGCGCCTGGCGGTGTGGGAGAGGCACTCCTTTGCGACAGAACCGTTGCTTCCCGTATTGGCGAGGCGGGTTGGGCCATCGGTGAGGTATACTGCTGCACCGGAGAATGGTAAGGTCGAACTGGCGACGCAGATTGGTGCACCGGTGAAGTGGCACGTGGTGTAGCAGCAGCGCTCTGAGGACCAGGCGACATAGACTTGAAAGATGGGGATGCAGTGCGTTGGATTGGTGAACCGCTTTGGGGAATCGGAGAACCAGGCTTCGAAGCGGGAGTAGCGCTCGAGGGGGCGAACGTATCAGAGAAAGGAGTAGGCTGAGCGACTACAGTGTCGGCGAAAGGCTCAGACATTTCAGGAATATGCGAGTAAGTCTCTGGAGCTCCGGTGTTGGAGCCAAAGGATGCTGCCACGAATGAGCTGTCCGCCTGGGGCTGTGGTTCTTCCAAGGGCTCCCACGACTGGGTCGGAACGAATGAAGAATCCAGCGGTGTCTGCGGTGCTGTTACTGGTGTCTCCTCGACTGTTTCAGCGGCACCGCTAGCTTCAAATTGGAAAGGGTTGGTCTCGTGGTGCTCCTCAGCGTCACCCGCGTGTTGTTCCGATGTGCCTATTTCCTCCCAGCTCGACTCTTGTGGCTGTTCAGAATAGGTCTGCACATCGTTCACGTCGGATTGCTCAACTTGGGCGGGCTCAGGAACTTCCGGTTGCTCGAACCCACCCTCCTCGTTCGCCGGCGACTGGACTGGTGCCTCGTCTACGGGCACAGTCGAGTCTGGCTCGACGGAAGCCTGTGGTTGCTCCAGTTCTGGTTCTTGGCTTGGCACCGACTCTGGCTCTTGTGCCGGTTCTGGTACGGTTTCAGATACGGGCTCTGTTTCTGCCGGCTGTGATTCGATCGGCGCCTCAGCTGCAGGTTCAGCTACAGCTTCAGTTTCGATTTGAGCTTCAGCTTCAGTGGGCGGTTGTTCGTGTTGCTGCTCGTCAGGTTGTATGTCTTGCTGTTCTTGCAGACCCTCCGGTTGCTCTTCTGCTTGTTCCGATGTGGGCTCAGGCTGAGCTGTCGGTGGCTCCTGAACTTGCTCTTCTACTTGCTGGGGCTCTGGTACCGGCTCTTCAGTGGAGACCTCTGGCTGCGATTGCTCTTGCTGCGGGTCTTGCTGGTCCTCCTGTTGGACCTCTTGTTGGCTCTCAGGCTGGACCGCTGGCTCCTCAGTGGAGAGCTCAGGTTGAGGTGCCTCTGGTGGTGGTTGTTGTTCCTCTGGCTCTGCTTGTTGTTCTGGCTCAGGGGTAGATAGCTCAGGCTGAGGTGTTTCTTGTTGTTCTAGTTGCTGTTGTTGTTCCTCTTGTTGTTCTTCTTGTTGTTGTTCAACAACAGGAGGGTCGGGCTGAGGTGTCTGATTACCAGAGGCCTCTTGGTTCTTGCCCTTCTTATTCTTTTGTTTGCTACCGGACTTGCCCTTGTTCTTTGCCATGGTGGGCGATAGTGATGCGTGCCCAAGTTAGAATAAGGCTGTAAGACGTGTTTCCAATAGCTAAAGAAGTAACACGGTCAGCGGAGACTAGATTGGGTGGCTGCGGGTTTAACACTGTACATTTGTAAGCGCGTTCGGCGGCGTCGTGATATATTCCGAGTTGATATAGATACAGAGCGAAACGCAGGGGCCCGACAAGGTAGGTGATCACACGGTCAGGCAGGAAAGAAAGTAAGAAAAAAAAATTTTAGGGGGTAAGGAGAAAAGAGAGGGAGAAAAAAATAATTAGGAGAATAGGGAAATTGGAAAATAATGCTCAGGCCCGTTGAGCAAAATGTATGCAGGTGGGCGCAAATGGTAGGAATACACGGAAGACAAATCACCGGATGTCGAATGGCAAGTTTGCCAGTGGACAGACACTCCGGAAAGCCAGGATAGTTTTCCACACGCTGGCTCTTAAAATAGTTGAATTCTGAGGAATGGGATTCGAGAGAAGAGACGACGTTGGGGAAAAAGAGGGCAGCTAATAACCGGTTCCCAGTCACGCCCAAACAAGAAAAAAACTGCATCTACAAAGGGCTCCGGCCAGCCTCAGGGGGGCTGGGCGAGGCGCGACGGCGGACCGAACCTTAGAGGGCAATTGATACCCATTCTACCAGGGAGTCATAGACCGTAGGAGTCCGACTAGGCGAGAGAAGGCAAGAGTACACACTTGGGTGCAAGAAGGGAGTCATCGGAGTGGACCGAGGCGTTTGAGTCGGGACTCGAAGCGGATCCAATCAGCAGGCGGTGTCACCAGCATTGGGCATCAACGACTCGATCATTTGGGGGTGGCAGGGTGAATCAGAAGACGAGCAGCGGAGCAAGCGTCCTAGAGCATGCTATTTCGAGAGTCCAAGAGTCCGAGCTCTCTCTCACTTTCAAACACCGCCGAGGGGAAAGAAAGAGAGCGAGATGAGGGGGGGCAAGTCGAGTGGGCGGGGAGTGGACAACGCTAACCAACGATCGATGACATGTCGCTGTTGATATCCAGACGTTTAGGAGCCCACATGAATTGGCAGAACCTGAAACCCAATTGCTGCCGCGCTAATCGCAAGCAGTGGGGAGCGCCATGTTGAAGTGAGGCAGTTAGCCATGCATCGGGACCACCCAGGGTGTGCGGTGTAGGAACACCATGACTGACGAGCCAACACAGCGACCCGCTCACACTTCACTGGATGGAACTGCCCCAACCCCCGTTCAAGGCGAAAAGGAGGATTGATTCCATGATCCCTCCAGGATGTTGCTGCAGGTAAGGCGAAGATCGGGAGGGTCTGACGGTCATCATATCATATTTGACCGACATGCAGGAGAGTTTAGGCCGACAGATGAGGGGAGTGGAAGAAAGGATGTGTTTGCACCGTAAGATGTCCGGGGGCTGCAGGAAGAAGAGTAACTAACAGGAAAGATTTACTTGCTCACTGACCAATCCACATGACAGTTGACAGACCGACTTAGTCATGGCATGGCAGCCTTACTGTTGTCCTAACTAAGCTAACCAGTTTTGGATCCTCTATGCTCTGTTACACTAGTCCCAATATGGCACAAATCACATGACTCACAATCACTGGAACTCGACCAATCAGCCCAAACCCAATCCAGCTTTCCAATCACGTGCACTCCGCCTCGAACCGCCTTTCTGCGCTTTCAACCTCCCAAAACCCCCCCGGCGACGACGACATCATAACTCGATCCGCCGCTGCCAATTGTCTACCTCCACACCATGTTCTTCGCTAGGCGATCGGTGGCTTCGGCGCGGCTCCTTCTGCGGAACCAGCAGCCCCGGCGATTCGACTCGCACGCAGCTCACCATGCCGAGCCTGTGAACGAGAGCTTCGGCGTACGTTCTCTCCCCTCCCTCCAATGGGAACGCAAATGAACCCTCCCTACTACCCTCGCCGACATTCACATCCCATTATACCCATTGTGGCATTGGTTCCTGCATGAACGAATAAGCAAGGCTCTCAAAAAGCTAACATCCTGATCTTACGCACCCATACAGCGCAGTTTCTACGTCACCTTCGGCACCTTCGCGTCCGCCTTCGTTCTGTACCAGGTGGCCAAGTCGAACGATAACTCCTCCCCGTCATGGATCACCAACCTCATCCACAAGTGGACTCCGGACGAGAAGATCTTTGAGCAGAGAAACGCCATCCACACGGCCGCTATGGAGAAGGTCGCTCATGACCGTCACTTGTTCGCGAGTCAGGGTCCTCGCGAATTCATTGAATTGAAGCAGCCTGAGTACGTCAACACATCCATTCCTTCTCCCAATTATACCTCAATATGCGGAGTACTAACCGGGGCTCTTTTTATCCCTCTGTAGGGTCAGCTTCAGCGCCGTCGCTCCTTACAATGTCGCCCCCGGCCAGAGCGCCGATCTCAGCCATGTTGTCGCTCACTACCAGCGCCAGAACCAGGAGATGGAGGCCTCCCGTGTGGCCCGGATGCAGGACGGCAAGGTCGTGTCTCTTTATGAGTAGGCGAGCATATTGAACTAAGGAAAATGTGATTCTGTTGTTGTTGTTTTTCTGTGTTATGAATATGTCGGTAATAGACATAGGAAGCAGGGCTTGTTGTACATATACCGGGCAGTGTTCAAGATTTTTTTTTCTTTATTCTTATTTTCCGTTATCTATTGTCCGCAGATGCGGTTGTTGTCAGCATGGGTTTACTTACAGAGATGATCAGCTGTAATCGCAAGCCATAGTTACATATATACATACACTACTTACCCTGTAAGTCCCTGTCGATCAGAATGGCCCCATAACCGATACTAATTCTACTAATGCCCAATATAAACAGCAGAGCCAATACCATCAAACCTTTATCTAAGCTAACGCTAATCACCAGACATGTAAGACTACTTCACCACATACAACTACTTACTTCATCCTACCAGGCAGCATCCATTATCTATAAGCCATACTTATATACTAACCACGACCCTAACTAAAGTAATACTAATATCAACTAACTAAGCACACCTAACCCCCAAAACCACCCTCCCGACCCCCTCAGACTTAACATCCAACCTCTCCTGCACATCGACCTCGACCCCCAGAGTCCCAGCAACACCACCCAAAACAGCCAAAAACTCATCGACACCCCCACCAACCCCAAAATAGACCTTCTTGGCCGCGACCAACGCCGCCGCGGCGGCGCTCTGCTGCTGTCCTCCCGGCGCAGCACGACGCAACAAGGCGACTAACGTCTCGGAGAATGCCCCCAGCGACGCAGGCGAGTAGATAGTCTCGGAGGCGAGGACGAGTGTTTGGGCGTAAGTTACTTCCTGAGTGGAAGAGGAGAAGACCAAATCCACGAAAGCGGGTGACCAGGCACCAGAGATGAAGGAGATGGTGATGCCGCGGGCAGAGAGGTCTTCTTGGAAGGATTGGATGAGGGTGGGGGTTATGTCGAGGAGTTCGTCTTCTTCTGACTGTCCTTCGGACGGGGAGGGAGAAGATTGTGTGTAGTGATACCATGTTAAGAGGAGGTTAGGGAAAGTGACGAGACGGAGAACGGCAGAGTTGTAGTCTGCGAATGTGAAGTGGGTTCTCTGTCCTGATGCTGGGTGAGAGAGGAGTTGTGCGAAGAGAGATAGTGATGGGATGGCGGTGCCGGCGCCGAGCTGGGGATTCTTGTTAGTATCCCATGTACTGGGTATTATCTAGGGTAGGTAGGTACATACCTCAATGATATGTCTATCACCAGTAGCCGTCGACGCAGCCAGCTCGTCGGTGTCAACAAGCACCTTGGCTAAATCGATGGCACACTCCCAGGTCTTGAACCCGCCTTCGTAGAAATTAGGCTTGATGTCGCCTTTCTCCAGACCGGCAATTAATTCCTCGTTGTTCTCGTCGGGAGTATCCTCGGCCATGAGTTGGGCGCGGATGTCGAAGATGTCCCGACGAGCGAGGGTGAGGTGCTGGTTTGCAGTGGCATTTTTGGTGGGCAGTCTGAGCTTGTTGAATGAGATTTGAGATGGGAGTGTAGGGATCTGTGGAGTGTTAGTTGTTGATACTGATGTAACATAGGGTAGGGTAGGGTAGATGAGTGGTGTATCTAAATGATCGATACTAGAAGTGTGCCATGTAATGGAGTTACTCACCCATTCAGCCACATCATGTTTCTTAGCTGGGATCAGCTCCGGAAGTGTAGATCCCGCACCAGCATTCTGGTCATTGTGAGTCTGGTGAGTCTCGTTCATCTCCGTATCATCGATGTCGATATCATCCCCCGCAAAGCCGAAGCTGAATGTGGATGTCATGATGTATAGCGGATACGGCTATCCACGATCAAGCCAAATCGAATAAATAAACTCTTCGGAAATAGCTTAGCTTATATGCTATGCACAGCCAAGTGAACAGTCTAGGAAGTAGAAGATGGATATCCAGCAGCGAGGTGGGGTATCCTATGATCTACTTCAATGAATGTTTGAATGATCCGAGCGCGGTCCTGGTCTAGGAACGAGTACAGAGTAGTCAATCTCAGAAGATATTATGTCTGATATCCCCTGTCTAGACAGAGTCCGATGTATATTAAACTGTCAATGCCTGGTTCTTTTCTCTTCTCGCTTCATTCGTCCAAATTTTGCATTTTCGTTATCGGGATGACTAAGCAATGTGATTGGGTGCTGAAACCGGTTCTATACATCGCATGTAGATACGATTTAATATGAATTGTGCATTGATCCTCATCAATACTTTCTAATAGAGACTAGAGGAAGATCTTATACAACTACTAGTAGATTACTTCGCTTCAGAAGGTATAAGTCTGGTGTCATGACCGGGCCCGCGAACTGCTACGCAAGACCCTCTATCGTCTCACATTTATATATATCGTAGAAACGCTCTATGTATCGTCCCAAACACGCAGATAACGAAACGAACAAAAGGAAACACCACGAATCCTTTAAGCAGATCCGTTCTCGACCTTGGTCGCAGCCACGGCCTTCTCAAGAGCCTGAAGAGCATCGGCCAAGAGGTCCTCGGAGTCCTCAACACCGCAGGACATACGGACAAGGTCATCGAAGACACCAGCAGCCTCGCGCTGGTCCTTGGGGATACCAGCGTGGGTCATGCTGGAAGGAACCTCGCAAAGAGACTCGACACCACCCAGACTCTCGGCCAGAGTGAAGATCTTGGTGTACTTGCAGAAGAGGTGAGCGGCTTCCTGGCCGCCCTTGATACGGAAGCTCAGCATACCACCGCCCATGCCGTTGCGGTGCTGCTTGACGGCAATGGCACGGTTGGGGTGAGAGTCAATGCCGGGGTAGTTGACGGCAATGACGTTGGGAGAAGCCTCGAGGGCCTTGGCGACTGCGGTGGCGTTGGTGGTGGCCTCGCGCGCACGCAGGTGGAGGGTCTTGAGACCACGGTGGGCGAGCCAGCAGTCGAAGGGGGAGGGGACGGCGCCGATAGCGTTCTGGAGGAAAGAGAGGCGCTCCTGCAGGCTATCGGAGTTGAAGGCAGCGACACCCATCAGGACATCCTGATATTATTCATGTTAGCAAGATGCCCGTTGCTATAGAAGGAGGGTGTAAGAGTTGAGCTTACAGAGTGACCGTTGATGTACTTGGTGACGGAGTGGACGACGATGTCGGCACCGTGGTCCAGAGGGTTCTGAACATAGGGGCTCAGGAAGGTGTTGTCGACGACGACCAGGATACCGTACTTGTGGGCGACGGCAGCGATCTTCTCGATATCGACCAGGCCGAGGGTGGGGTTGGAGGGGGTTTCGATCCAGACCAGCTTGGTCTCGTTGGGGCGGATGAGCTCCTCGACGTCGAGCTCAATGCAAGGCGAGAAAGTCACCTGGACGCCATGGGCGGAGGCAACCTTGGTGAAGTAACGGTGAGTTCCACCGTAGACATCGGAGACGGAGACGATGTGAGAGCCCGCGGCGAGAGACTGGAGGATGACGGCAGTGGTGGCAGAGCCAGAGGAGAAGGCAAGGGCATATTTGGCGTGTTCAAGAGCAGCAATGGCCTGCTCGAAGTTGTCACTAAATTCCAGCAGTCAATATCCATGCAATCAATGTATCTCAGCTATGGCGCTTCCGTTCCGACTAACCGGTTGGGGTTGGAGCTGCGGGTGTATTCGTAGAGACCAACGGGGTTTCCGACGCTGGTCTGCGCAAAGGTGGTGGAGAGGGAGATCTATGAGCCAGCTGATTAGCGCGTGCACCGTAGGAGTGAACGCAGTGTTCGGAGAAGAATGCGAACTGACAGGAGCAATGACAGCGCCGGTGGTAGGATCATGGGGAGCACCAGCGTGGACGGCCAAAGTTCCGAAGCGGCGATCCTGAGGGGTCGACGCTCCGTTCTGAGTGGGGAGAGCAACCATTGTCACGAATGGAATATACGAAATGGGGAATAATAGAAGTCAAAAAAGTAAAAGTGAGTAAATCAGAACAATAAGTCGCTGATAGTCTAAATGCGCGAGTAACTGGGTCTTGTAGAGCAGTTGAATGCTTAAAGACAAGAGGTGGATGATGAAATCACAGGGTCCCTGCAAGACGCAATGCGGTCTAATATAAGCAAACCAACCCTTCAAGGTTTCTAGGGTTGCGATTTGTAATGGGCCAAGGAAACGAGAGAGAAAAATAGATCGGTGAGACGCAGAATCCCAGGAATGAAAACGAGACGAGCCGCGCACAGAGAGAGGGGGGCAAGTTTGCTTGAAAATTTCTGGCTGATGCCGGGTTTCTTTTACGTTGCGCAGACTGGATGCTGGAGAACTATAGGACGAAGTGGTCGAGAGGGACCCGCGCCGAGTTCCAGAATCTTTCTTCCCTTTCTTTTTTCCTTTTTCTCCACCCCGCCAGTTTATCGCCGCCTTTAACCGTCGCATCGCCGACGCCCTTCCGTGCTGACAGCCTAGTTTAGTTCCACTTCTATTTGGGAGTGTGTCTGCTTTGGCATTGTAAGGTGTCATTTGCATCCCTATCTCTATCTACGTACGCCCTGATTCATTCAACGTCTGCAACGGTGTCCCCCATTCGGCATGATTGCAAGGTCGCTTGGTGCTGCAAGGGGAAGTAATGTTCCATGGTTCTTGGGGATGGGCTCATACCATCCCTTCATTTCGACATCAAGAATCATTATTGCGCCAACCTGAACAATTAATAAAGCCAAGATCATGTCATTATTCGTCTATCGATGGGATTATCGATCTTCTCCCCTCTGCAACATCCATCCCAACGTGGTATATCCAATTCTCCCCCCTTTACTTTTTCCTTTTCTTTTGAACCCACTGTATGTAAGTAGTAGTGTAGTGTACAATGCAATCCCATCCACGGAAAGCTCTCGTATTCTTCCTCTCCAAAACAAAGCAAATCATCAATCACCACCATGAAATCGGACCCAATCCAGCCATTTGCATGGATCCCTATATCATAAAGATATTAGATTGTCTTCAACACAGATAATATATCTGGAGTAAGGCAAGTCACTCACTATAATCGAATATGGGGGTTTCCGCTCGATGGCGGCGGCATCTCCTAGATCCGGCGCATTCGGGATCTGGTCGTGCCATTCTTCCATCTCAACGCGGAATCGAACAACTTCACCAACATCAAAGTAGAACGTGGAGCCATCTTCGTTCTCCCAGATCCAGACTTGATCCGCGTAGTCACTGATATTTGTTAGCAAGCTGGAGCATCGCAGAGTGGATTAGGTGGTACACTCACAATCTGGCGCCATCCAAGAGTAGATCAGGAGGCACGAGAATATCGTTGAAGAATTCCACGGCAACTAGGGAGTGTCAGCATCACATTTTGACATATACATGGAATACACTGAATGCTCACCCTTAATGCCATGTTCTGTCGCACTCGAGATCTTCCCAAGCATGATCTCGCCCTTGAACGGGCGGAAGACAATCAGACGGAATTTGACTGTCACTAGGTCAGTTTCTCTGCTACACCATAAGACTAACATCGTAGATAGAGAAAGTAACATACCATTTACATTAACAAGTCCAGTACCATGGCCAATCAGACCATCTGAAGACTCTAGCAGGTCATAGAAACCAATGCATAGGCCGATTTTTTGAATGACCTGACCATAACAAGGTCAACGATGTTCACTCACAAGCATGGCTTGCAGACCATGCTAAATATAAAGCACATAATAAGAGGAGAATCACGCGCTGGTACATACTTTATTGGCATACTTCTCGTTGATGTTATCCTCGAGAGCCACAGCGCTATATTTGGAGAAATCCTCCGGGGAGATCTGGATCAGATCCGAGATCGTAGTCTGTGAGATACAGGTCAGCACATACTCAAATATAGGTATGCACTGGGTGCATATAGAAGTGGAAGTAGTAGTCGATCACTAACAAGAATGAACATCGTGAATCGAGTCGCTTGACGTAGCGCCTCTCAAAGGGCCGGCGGGGAAGAAGAAGAAAAAAGATAAGGACGACGGAGCTAATAAATTCTTCTCTTTCTTTCTTTCTTTCTATTCCAAGGCAAGCATTCGGGTGGAAGTATTCAAGTTGTCGGGACTCAATCCCATATTAGAAAGCTAGTTCAATTGTCCTCCATCCAGCAACCATTTTACAATTATTATATTGGAAATCACTTTTAGCAGCAGCAGCTCAATGCGAGAACCCCCGGCATCCAGCCAATGGCAGCCGGCGGATCTGCCATGAAATTTTTGCCTGGACAGTGAGGTTGGCCCCACGTGAGCGGCACGCGATTCCTGATTCTGCTCGGAACGGAACAACCAAAGAGGCTCTGTCACTGAATCTCCGGCCGCCTTTTATTGAGTTGCGACCTCGTCAAGTCTTCGCAATGTCGGGAGGATGGCGTGCATGCTGTTTCTCTCTGAAGATCGTCTGAGATCTTCTCGCCATGAACTCCCAGGGGTTCTCTTTTCCTCCTCCCCCTCCCCCTCCTCCCTCTCAGCAACAACAACCGCAACAACCGCAACCGCAGCAGCAACAATACCGTCACCATAATGCCAACTACCCTTCGCAATATGGCGGTCAGGGATATCATGGTCAACGAGGTGGTCATGCTCATGGCGGCCACTTCAGAGGACGTGGGAGGGGCTATGGAAATCGGGGAGGCGCCCGTGGAGGTCACTTTATGACACCAGATAACCGCGCGTACCCTACCGCTACACCGTCTACTGGCTACGCTCAGATGAATTACTCTGGGTATGCCACGCACCCCAACCCAGCAGCCCAAGTCACTCCTTCGCCATCGCAAAATTTCCAACGGGCTCCGAATGCTTCCTCCTTCCCTCCTTCGCAGCCTTATGCGCAATCCGCAGCCCGGGTGCCGCCTTACCAAGGCCAGCCTAACTATGGGGGAGCTTACACTTCGCCTACTGCTCAACCTGGGTCTATGTATCCTTCGGTTATGCCTGCCCAGCAACCGGTCAACCAGCCAGTTCAGACGCCGATGGTTGCCCCACCTATGCGCTGGGGGTTTGAGCAAACGGGACCGGCAGGCTCCTTTGCCGGAGCTCAGCGCGGCGGACACTTCAACGGTTACAACGCTCAGTCACATAGTGGGGATAGAACAGCACACTATGCCAACAAGCGCGATCATAATGCGGCCTTTGGGAAGCCCCAGTCCGTCGCACCCCGAGTTCCCGCACCGCCTCCGGTTCCCAGCTTCGGAAATCCTCTTCCTGTCAAACCCCCGCCACCAGCTGACGCCACACGGAAGCCAAAGAAGAAGAAGAGAAAGCACAATCAGCTTGGATTGACCCCGAGAATCGAAGAGCATGAGTCGAGCGAGGATGAAGACGATGTGGATGAAGAAGCGAGATTAGCCGGAGGAGCTGCTGCTGCCGACACCGCAGCTCTCAAGGTCACATATCGCGGAAAGACATCCACATTGCAGTCACCGGAAGAAATCGCGGCCTGGATTGAGGAACGGCGAAAGCGGTATCCGACGCAGGCGAAAGTGGAAGAGAAGAAAAAGGCCATGGAAGAGGCGAAGAAAGCACGCCAGGAAGTACAGCGGCAGAAGGATCAGCGAAAGCAAGAGTCCAAACGAGCGCAGAAGGACGGTCGGAATAAGAAAGCGCACGACAAGCAATCCAATGACCAACCGGTCGATCCCATAGATGCTGCAGCGAAGGCGAAGGAGAAGGCGGACAGACTGCGGCGAAAGCTCATGAAGGAAGAGAAACGGGTGGCCAAAGCCGAGGCAGATGCTGAAAGGGCTCTACTGAGGGCTGAGGCACTGAAAAAGGAATCAACTGATGCCAATGTAGATGAAAGTTCGGCCACCGCACAAGTCCAACCGGCTTCGGAAGCTGGGATCAGGGCAGATGCAGATTCGGAAGATAAGACTGTCAAGCCTGGGCCCGCTGCAGTCGAAGGATCAGAAGTCACCAACGGCGACACGACGTCTGCAACAGATGTCAAGATAGACGCTGGGAAGCCCGAAGAAGCTGGGGACGAGGCCAACATCTCGTCTCAAGATGACTCCGATAGCAGCGATTGGACATCATCCAGTGGGTCAGATTCCTCGTCGGATGAATCCGACAGTGACTCGGACTCTGCGCCGGAGGAGGCGACTACTCGACGAGAAGGACCGGAGCGGGTGCCGCCACCCCCTCGCGAGAGTAAGAAAAAGCCATGCCATCACTTTGCTCGAACCGGTCGCTGCAGGAATGGAGATAGATGTCGGTTCTCGCACGAGGCACCTGAGCGAGGAAAGAAAGCGAAGCCAACGGAGCCGAAGGGGCGAAAGGGGCTTCTACAAGCGGTGAGTCTAGCCATCCCTAAGCTTATGCTCCTGAGAACGTGACTAACATGTGCAATTACTAGCTCCTGGACCGCCAAAAGGGAGAAGAAGACCGAAAGGTCATGGAAGCAATTGCATGGCTCGGGGAAAACGGATTCCTAGATGCGCCTAAAGCCCAAGAGGACACTAACAAATCGACAATGGTGACCGAAGGCACGGAAGCTCCGCAGCAGGCAGCCCCCAAGGACACAATCTCGGGGCAGGAAAATGATGCTGCCCCCGTGACTGCCTAGTATATAGTGTGGCACCATGTCGAAGGCCGTATCATAGTGTGCTGTATATACATAGCTAGACTAACGCATTATAGTACGTCTCGTGTCTTTGATACAGTCCAGATTTTCATTAGTGACTCGTGCCTGTAGGCTGTATAGTGGGGATTCATTTCAGTCTCGTTGGTCCAAAATGGAGCCCAGACAAATCAGAGTTCGGCCATTGAGTATAGAAGCACTTCGGACGAGAGCGTAAAATTGCCATCGCACCATAGTGGCCACCGGAGCTCACTAACAAGGTGATGCGGCTGCAACCTCGGTTTGAGCCGACTATAGATAGTAGGAAGTTAGGAAGATGGGAAGGATGGATGGGTGGGATGGGTGGCGCCTCCCCGCTTCGCGCTGCGCTTGTGGGTTAGCTCAAGTTGTTAGTGCTCTCGTAGATAATTTTTAGCTCCTCGCTGTACACTAAGTGAGGACTTCGAATGCTGGCATAAACGCTCGGACGGAGTTCATTTCCCATGATAGTCTAGACAGAATGGATGCCTAGCGAGGGCGTGGGTCTTGAAACTCCATACAGGATTAGAATGCCTGCCTGACGGTCTCCGAAGGAGAGAACACAAGGAAGGCAAGAAAAGTCTAGCCCATAGTGAGAGTAGTGTAGGTAGTCCAGGGGGAAGAATGATGTCGGAGTTAAGTAGAACGATAGACTAAGTAGATGGAGGGGAGGTTCGAGGGGTGGGGAGGGATAATCCTTAACGAATTGGGAGGTGAAGTGGATGAGAAGCTTTGTGTCTAAATTACTGGATAAGGAAAGCGTGAACTTTGGGTCACTGGGAGAGGAGCCGAGAGAACTGGATACTCCTAAAGGAGTACCTCTCCGAGGAAGCGAAAGAGATAAGGGCGAATAAAGAGGTTCGTATAGCAAGTACTATGGACCCCTGTTTGTGGACAGGGATCTCGATAGTGTGGTAGGTGGCTTAGATCCTGGAGATGTGATGTCTCAGTTCATTGAATCGCTTCTGAGATTTGTATTGAACAGTAAGTATTTTAGTTAGATGGAATAATATATGGGAGTAGTCGGGTAGCTGCTTAGTTGGATACTACCGCAGGCCAAATTAATAATCGTGATCGGCCGCATCCACATGTCAGTTCCGCACATCCTGATAAGATAGACTGTTGGACACTAACAGCCGTCCAGTCGGATAGCCAATGTTCTCTCATGATACTTGCATCAATTTCAGAGCAAGCAGAGAAGAACTTGTGTTGCAGCACGTCAGAAAACAAATACTATCATACATCCAACAAGAGAGAAGGTTCCAGACAGACAGACAGACAGTACTAATAATACGATGCCCTCGAGCTAGTCCCGAACGAGGGCATCAGCAGCTCCCACAAACTTTGGAGCGGAGTGGAACATGTCGGCGAGGGTTAATTTCATTTCTGCCCAATGATCGTCCGCGTGCCCTGAATTGTTGCTGCAGGAATTGGGAAAAACGCCCCTGAGCAGATACCACCTTTTCTGCCAATAAAGCCTCTCTCAATCGTATCGAGGGCTATATTTACTTACACTTTTTTCCAAGCGTCTCCTTGGCTTGTCGCTAAGAAGGAAGTCATTCAAAGTCCGGACTCTCGCGGATAGGTCATATAAAATTTGCCATCTGTCTAAGTATGTATCTAGTGAGACTTAGCCACTGTTGCCGACGAACCCCCGGTCGGGCGAGCGAAAAATAGTACCATTGGAAAGACGCTACACCCGAGTCGGGCCTGAAATCTCCCAAAATGGACGAGAATGAGGGGATCCGAACCGGACTTCCACCGGAAGATGAGGCCAGAAGAGAAGCAGTTGAGCGACTAGTGACGCCCAAGGGGGATTAGCGCAAGTGGAGGAGGTCCGATACAGCAGGTACGCCCGGTACGCTAGACCATAGGCTGGACTTGGTGTGGCCAGGAACAGGAAGGTCCGGATGTCCACTAGTCACAGGGTCATCCAATCCATTGTGCCCTGCGTCGGTCTGTCCGCAATGACAATGGATCCCCCCCCTCCTCCTCTCGTGTTTTTTTTCCCACTTGATTTTCGCCGTCTGGGCCAGAGTCGGGCAATTAGTACTAAGAAGGTAACCTAACTTAAGCCAGGTAGGCAGTAGTGTGCGAGTAGACTAGTCTAGTATCTACTTAGTAACTTTTCTCCAGTCCAGTCAATGCTCAATGACTGGTAAGTATACATAGACATCCTCCTCCCCCCCTCCCCGGTGGTTCGTTCCTTCCTCTTTTCTCTTCTTTCTTTCTTCCCTTCCTCGTGCGATTTCCCCATTCGACGTCTGTCCTTCGTTCTTTCGTCGTCTGCATCTACTGACTCACCCGGTTCACTCTTTTTGACCGTCGAGACTATCCTTCCTCTCTCTCTCCCACTTAGAAGTCATTCTTTTACTTCTGTACCACCCACACTTGCATCGCGTATTTACGCTTGTATATCGCATACTATCCATTCCCCGTTATTGTACCGAGTCATTCTACTACTCACATATACTTCTTCACCAACATCCATCAATATGCGTTCCGTCTTCTACCTTGCTCTCAGCGCCATTGCGTCTCTCGCGGCCGCTTCCGACAACCCGTTCAACGTCCCTGAGGGTGGCTACACCTTCACCGCGGGCAGCCCGACTACTCTCACCTGGGACCCGACTACTAATGGCACCGTCACCCTGAGACTCCAGTGGGGTGCTGTCTTCACCACCACCACGGGCGAACTTATTGCCGGTAAGCTCCCGCTATGGATATGGTGTGGAAAATTTTGATGAGATAGGTACTGACGAGACCATTTAGGGAGCATCGACAACTCTGGTAGCTACTCTTGGACTCCTTCTGCCGATCTTGCGGCCCGCTCGGACTACACCGTTGAGATCATCGATGATGATAACACGGACGATGTCAACTACACCCCGCGCTTCTCGGTTTCCGGTGCTACTGGAGCGGTGACCACCAGCACTGCCTCGTCAACCACGTCTTCTGCTTCCAGCACTAGTTCTTCCACCGACCAGACCTCCACCGTGAGCGCCACTACTCTGTCTACTACCACCTCGAGCGCTAGCTCTTCCACATCGACCACCACGGCTGGCTCGAACTCTACCGTTTCGGCGACGTCCTCCAAGACTGCCTCGTCCAGCTCTTCGAACACCGCGAGCTCCAGCGCTTCTACTGCCAGCGTCACCACGGTGTCCACCAATGCTGGTATGGCCAACCAGGCCTCTATTGGCATGATGGCCCTTATCTTTGGTGCTGTTGCGCTCATCTAAAACTACGACGTTCTGATTCTTCTGCCCGCCTGAGGGCTGCCAACTCCGTGGTCGGGTGATGATACCTTTTTTCTTTACTTTCTGGTACATAGATTTTTGAGCACCTTTTGTTTACGCCTTCTTGCATCCCCCTTTTTACTCTTCTCACGCCCTCTTTGAACTTTCTTCTTCACGTGCCCTGTTGGATTGTCAAGGATTGCATGGACCTTTCCCGTTGCTGAAGAGTATCCTTTGTGTCTCGGAAAAAGATGTTACAGATCCCGGCTTTCTCTGCCATTTTTCGCTCCTGGCGATGGAATGGGTATGTTAATTATTACTACGACATTGTTATTGTGCCTCCGGATGGATGGACCTAATGGGTTGGACATCGGACTTTACGGAGTATGTAGATATGGATTGTGTAATGAATGACTACTAGCCTATCATGCATGCGTTAGACAGATGACTCGGAGCGCCCCTGGACGAAGGGGTCGATGCGTCGTAGCTGTGTGTACACGGGACCTGCATGATGAGCCCGGTGAAGATTCTGACGGGGTGGAGATGGGCATACCTTGCATGGCCCACTAGACTGCAGAAGACCGTCTGGGATAAGTTGGGGACATGCAGGGTAATGCTAGAGTGGAATGGAAAATTCGAAGGATTATAAGACGATATATTAATGAACCCAGGAAAACGAATCCGACAAGTACGTAGCCTCGATAGATGGAATGATTTAATAAACAAATACCCCATAAGTAGGGCCGAGCAATGCCGGCTAACAGATAAAGTGAAACAAAATAATCTAACTATATGATAGGGATAGATCTAGAATATTATAGACTCCGTCTCTTCAACCCTTTCGAAATTAAGGCCCAGAAAGGTGAGGTACTAAAGAAAATAAAACCAAGAACAACAAAATTAAGCGTACGTAAAATGACAAGGCACGAAGAAAAAAACGAAGATGATCCAGACAGACCCATTAGGCAAAAACAGGGCTGCTGGCTGGCTGGCTGGCTCCACGGTAATCAAACCCAACCGTTAAATAAAGGGTCCACCCGAGTATTCATCCACCGACGGACGGGCAAAACTTCGGTGTGTGGAGAGAGGCTGACTGACTGACTGACTCTTAAGATTTGAGATGGGTAATTTAATTACACTGTAAGTTACTGGGCGATTTTTATTTATTTATTTCTTTTTCACTTGATGATGGAAAACATGAATAATCCTTTTACTGTACGTAGTTTATTTATGGATATTATATCGAGGTTTAATTCTGATATTATTATCAAATATTGGTTGGTGTATGCAGTATATTTATTGATTGGGATTTGCTTCTTTGCCAAGATGACAGACAGACACACAGATGGATAAATCGGGGGGCCTTTGTTTTGTTTGGGTTTTTGGGACCTGCAAGGCACGTGAGGGTTGTCTTGATTTTTGGTTTCGGGTGAGTTCCATGGTAAGAGACAGTTCTTGCCCGAGGAACCAGTTGTGTCCATGGGGTATTTTGATAGCTGGCCCTATTATAGATAGATTCTTTTTGTTTTCTACCCCTGAGACAGACGGTGATGTAAGGATGGTTGGGGGAGGTAGTAATTTAGGGACTTCGTCTCGAGGAAAAAGATTCTTTGTTTGTTTGAGACTATCTGTCTGTCACCTGAGCAGGGGCTGTATTGTATGCATGTTATGCAATGACACTAAGCCAGAATTATGTGCAAACTGCAGTAGTTAGTTACAGCAGCTGACATT